TTCATCTATAAAAACCCAATGATTATTTTCATAATTATTATTTTTGGTAGTTTATTTTATTAGAATTTTATATTATGCTAAAATGTAGCTAACATAATTTTTGTATATTTTTATAAATTTATTTGGTATTTTAAAGCTAAATTGCATATAATTGCAATATTAGCCTATTTTAAGATTTAATTGCATTTTATACTTACAAAATTGAGTCCGGTATTTTAAATCTAATATTTATATATTATTAAATAATTTAGTATCTTTAATTTGTTTCCAAAACATATTTTACTATTTTTTATAAAATAAATAGGGGAAAAGTGGCTATTTAAACACTAGCCCTACTTATTTCAATTTTAGCCTAAATCAAGCCCCCAATTAAACCCAATTTCAATCCCAAATTGCCCGGCCCAATTCTTAAATTACCCGCCCCTGACCCAATTAAATGCAACCCGTCCGGCTCCCCGTTTAATCCAGGCCGTTGACCAAAATGATCAACGACCACGCTTCATTCTTTCTTTTTTTAATTTACCAACCCCCCTTAACCCTAATCATTTTCACCAGCCCGCCGCCTCTGAAACCCTCCACTCTCTCAAACTCTCTCGAATATTCTCAAACCCTACCCGTCTCTTACCATCTCCGCCCTGAAATCCACCGGAATCTATGGCCTCCAAGGCTACGAGAGTCCTACACCGGCCTCCTATTGCTCCTACATGCCTGGTCCTTGAAGATTCAAGGCCTGACCTTGAAGGTTCATACCCAGACCTCTATCGATTCGGAGTTCCACGGTCATCTCCGGCCTTGCTCCGGCGCACCATGGTTGTTTAAGCCTGATTCTGACCTCTCCGACTTAGATCGGTGACCTTTCAAAGCCTTTCTCATCCCTAGGGCTCTTCTGAAACCCTAACCCTTCGAGGTTTTCTCCGATTTCTTTAGATCCGTTGTGTATCTACGCTTTCCCTAAGCTTTCAAACGATTTCCCTAACTTTTCTTTCAGAACCTTTGTTTTCCGATCTAGGGTTTTCTGAAAATGTTCAAGTGTTTTCTGACTTTCTTTTCTTTCGTGTGTATTTGCCTCTGTGTTGTTCTTGTATTCTCTTTTACCATGTTTCTTATATGCTTCTCTTACTGTGTTTTCCTATATTATTGTCTCGTATGCTTTTCTACCGTGCTCCTATGTTTCTCTTCTATCACGTTCTTGTATGTTCTTCTACTGTGTTCTCGTATGCTTTTCTACTATGTTCTGGTATTTTCTTCTACCATGTTCTGGTATGTTTCGCCTACTATATTTTTTACTGTGTTCTTAATGTTTTACTATAATCTTTCTACTGAACCTTGTTTAAGTTTCTTCTAAAAAGATCCTCTTAAGCATGCTTTCCTACTGTTCTTAACAGTCTTTTCTCATTATGCTTCAAATTAGTATCTTCCACTCTGCTTGCTTCAAACCATTCTACTGTGTTTGCATGTTACTTTGCTATCATGTTTCTCATGAGTTCTGTTGCTGAAAGAAGCATGTTAGAAGTTTCAGTTCTTTTCTGAAACCCCTAAACATGTTTTCGATTCAATTGCTTGCCCTCTCATCTTTGCTTCTTGATTTGCTTGAACTAGGGTTTTTATTTTAGAACCCCTAACTCTTTCAGACCAACTTCGAGTTTGGACATCCGTGTTTGCATATGATTTTGGATTTTTACTAAACTCTTCTACACTTGATTTTCTATTGATGACATGAAAATTTTCTTTCATGCTTAACATGTTCGTATGCTCCTTATATATGAGGAACTTCCCTTTAAAGTGGTTTTCAAACTTGTGATTAATTCAGAATCCCTTCTAAATAGGTCTAATTGATTCCCTATCCATTGTTTGCTGATTTCCCTTAAGTTAAAAACCTTTCCCATCTTTTTGACTCGGTTCATTCATAAAAATCTCAGACCTTGTGATGTACTGACTGTTAATTGATTTCCTTACCTTATTTGTACAAACCGTGTACTTCAAAACCCTATCCTTAAATAACCCTTTTATGTATGTGCCCTTAATTGCATTTTCACCCGTTTGAGTCTTGTGTAATTGATTGACAATCAGTTCTTCAACTATTTTCTTACCTTATTTCTGCTTGATTTTTACACTATATAAGGCACGCCCCTTTTTCACAGAGACACGATTTAAAATCCTTCACTTCACAATTCACAACCTCTTCTGAACTCATACTTACTCATAATAGTATCCTCTCTTTGCCTGCACTGTGGCCTGTTCACAAGACCTATTATTTTTTTCTCTATTTGTTTCTTTGAAACTAGTATGTCCTAATTTAAGCTTCAGCATCATCACAATGTGTTTAATTACAGCTTTTTGTATCCATGTCTACTTTACTGCTGCTGCAGAGTTAAATATGTAAACTAGCATGTTGATTCCTTTTTGTTTGTTTGTAATGAATCCCTACCCCCTATAACCCCTATGTGTTTTGAGTTATGACTTGAGGCATGGCAATGTATGTTGTTGTCCATGAACTAAGTTTGATCCATGGGGATCTTAACCTCTAAACAATATGTGTTAACAGGCCTAAGGGTGTTCCAGCATCTCCCATTGCTAGGTATGCCCACCAGCCTGCTTTTGCCTCTTGCAACTCCCTATTCCCTATACCCTTATGTGTACTGATTTAAGTTGTTTCCCTTTTCCCTTTTCCCTTTCCCCTTTCAGAATTCCACTTCTGCACTTGCACTCTCTCTTAGTCCCTAAGTTCTACCCCCCTCTTGTGAGCTTTGCCTTGGGACCTTGAGTTCCCTCTGAACTTGGACACCTGAGGGTTGGCCCTTGCACACTGCACTATGTCTTAATCTGGTGATGCATTTGGGTGTGGGCATTGCCCGGAGTCCTTTTCGAGGCTCTTAGGGAACTTTGACACTTCCAAATGGGAGAAAGACTGGAATGTGACCTCTTGGAGTTGGTTTACTTCATACTTCAGACAGGAAGCCTGAATCAGGCTCTCCTTGGTTGTATTTTTTTTATATTTTCTGATGTATTTTCTTTACTTTACTTCTTTTTTTCTAGGCTGTAATAACGTTGTAATAAAACTTTCGGGGATGGCTAGTAAAAAAGGGAAGGGGTAACCATGTATGCAAAGGGTAGATAACATGTCTTTAGGGATCCTGCGTAACCATGTATGCAAAGGGTAGATAACATGTCTTTAGGGATCCTGCATTTTCTCATATATAGATACCATGTCTATAGGAGTTTCTGAATTTCTGCATTCTCTCATATATAGATAACATGTCTTTAGGAATCCTGCATTCTCTCATACATAGATAACATGTCTTTAGGGATCCTGCATTTTCTCATATATAAATACCATGTCTATAGGAGTTTCTGAATTTCTGCATTCTCTCATATATAGATAACATGTCTTTAGGAATCCTGCATTCTCTCATATATAGATACCATGTCTATAGGAGTTTCTGAATTTCTGCATTCTCTCATATATAGATAACATGTCTTTAGGAATCCTGTATTCTCTCATATATATAGATACCATGTGTATAGGGGTCCTGCATTCTCTCATATAGATGCCATGTCTACAATTATTCAAAATCAGAATTCTGCATATGCATATAGAAAATATGCCTATATGTCCTTCTGAATCTTGCATATCCACTTTCATTAGGCAAACATGTTTATAGGCCCTGAATAATCAATCGCAATTAGATATCATGTTCATATAAAATACAACACCTAGATATCATGTTTGTAGGATTTCTGCTTTTCTCTATGTCTGTAAAAGTGTTCCAAAGTCAACAAACGCATAGAAAGCATGCCTATAGGAGCTTTAACCAAATCTGAATCACCTTACTCGCTTATAAGTCTAAAACCAGTGATAATGCCTTACCAGTTGCAGAACTTATGATCTTTCGCTAAAACACGCCTTTCTTTAATAACTGACAACTTTTTCTTAAATCAGTATGTATTCAGTTTAATTCATTGTTTTTGAAATCAGTAGATATCATGCCTATAGGATCTTCGTCCAACACCTAGGCAAACCATAGGGTAAATTTTGTAAACCAAATCAGATTTTATTAGCTACAACCAACAGGTAGGCCTGCTTCGGGCTTCTTATCTAAACTATGTAATAAATCAGTTTGCCCCAACCTTTTAAGCTTTAATTAGACCTTAAACAGTATGTGTAAGTCATGCTAACTACTTGCTTTTCTCTGTTTAAAGGAGGTGTATTTGAGCCTTTGTTTGTTTACATGCTTTTCCCCAAATTTACTATATGTGTTTTTGCCTGTCGCCTTAGTATTTTACCTTTTGAAACCACAAATAAGCCAATATCTCCTCCCTTTAGGATTAGTAGTCCCAAGTACCTCCGGGGCTGATAGGATTGGGGCGGGTAATAGCATGCAATAAGCAAACGAGACCATTCCGCGCTTTAATACCTTAACGGGGTAGGAAAGGGTAGATATGGATATGATGACCACGCGATAACATCACGTGTAGCCCCTCATTGAAGAGTGATTACCGGATGTTGTGTGGGGTTATCCATATTATTAATAAACCTAGGACCCCCTTTCCCTTTGTTCTTTGTGTCTTTTAAATCTTTTAAAACCATTTCTTCTAAGAAAAATCAACTCTCTTTAGTTCTTTTCGACTTTGTTTATTTGTGACCATTGCATGAAAATTCCCTCTTATTTGAAACTCTTACTTGCCTATATGTTATTTGCATTTAAGTCACAACAATAGTTTGGCCGGGAACCACACTAGTGGATCCTGAGGGGTGCCTAACACCTTCCCCTTGGGATAATTTCAAGCCCTTACCCAATCTCTGGTTACTTGACTCAAACCCTCTTAGTGTCCTAATGCACTTAAATCATTAGGTGGCGACTCTTCAATCCAAAGCCCAATTCCCAAAAGGGAACGAGTTGTCTTCCCAAATATCATAAACCCGATTTCGCGAGAAAAAGGGGGCGCGACACTTAAGTGGTGTTCGTCCTTCTAAAATTGAACGTGGAGAATTTAAATCCATGGTACTTGATAGCATTACTATTGAAGTTTTTGAGAGAAAATGGACAGAATATATTGCAAGGTATAATTTGCATACAAGGACTTGGTTCAACAAGCTTTACTTTGAGAAGGAAAAATTGGTTCCTGTGTACCTTGATGTGTATTTTTGGGTTGGTATGCTATCTATGCAAAGAAGTGAGGGGATGCATGCATTCTTTGATGGATATATTACCCGTCAAAGCACTCTTAGGATGTTTGTTCACCAGTATGAGTTAGCTATAAGAGCTAAGCTTGAGAAAGAGTTGGAAGCGGAATACAGGTCAAAGGGCTTTCAAATTGTGTGTGAGTTAATGTTCAAGTGGGAGGAGCAAGCAATTCAGTGTTATACGCGTACGGTGTATGAGTTTTTCAAGCCACAACTAAGGAAATGGTATCATTGTGAAGTCAGCAGCCGCGGGGATCATCAATTTGTCCCTGGTGTTGAGAAATTCATCGTTAGTGATTATTTAGGTTTTAAAAAAAATGATGAAAATCCAGTTGAGTACACTGTTGAATATATACCTATCGGCGATTATTTTAGTTGCAGCTGCAAAGGTTCGAGTCTAGAGGGATACTTTGTTGCCATATACTCAAGATATTGTCGCACAAGAAGATTGATAAAATTGATGAAAGGTATATACTGAAAAGGTGGAGAAGCGATGTTAATAAGCCACACTTGAATCGGTTCCATCAAGTTGGCCAAACATGACTCCTGAGCACAAGACATACAGGAGCATGTTGAAGTATTTTGCCATGGCTTGTGATATAGCACTGTGCACTAGCGTGAAGGTTCAGTATGTTAAGCATAATTTGAAGAAGATGGTGCATGATCTTCAAAACTGGGAAGACGAAATGATCGTGCCAAACCCCAACAAGGATGACTCAGATAAAACTGAAGGCACAACTCTACGATATCCCTAGTACACTAATTCACGTGGCAGGCTACGTTTGAATCGATATAGAGGAAGAATTGAATACTACTTTACAAGTTCACAGCCGCTTGGTGTATTTAAAGCTAGTAATGGCGCAAGAAGTGGTGTTAGAGAGGGTGGCGGCAATCGTGGTGGTAGAGGTGCCAGTAGAAGTGGTGGACGCAGAGGTAGGGGTAATGGGCAAGGTAGATGTACAAACATTGAGCATGATGGTTCCCTATGTCACGACCCAAAATCCACTAAGGGTCGTGATGGCGCCAGACACCACTGTCAGGCAAGCCAATTCCAATAAGTTAATTAAATTCCCATTTTAGTATTTATTGAAATCATTCCTTTATACATTAAAAAATAAATAATGAAATTCACTGAAATAAGATGATGTCTTTAACAAACTTAATATTGAATAATCCCATAATCATCCCAGAACCCGGTGTCACAAGTGCATGAGCTATTTCTAGGAAATCAAATGAAGTACAATAACTATCCGGAATACAAATTGGACAGAAGGTAAATACTATACACTGAAAGAGACTATGCCGGCTGCGGGTCGCCTCGAGAGATGTAGCTCACCTAAGTCTCCGTATCATCCATGCTGCTACGCCCATTAGGCCACTAGAGATACATGTGCCTATGCAACAAAAATGCACACCAAGTGTAGCATGAGTACAAAAATAACGTGTACTCAGTAAGTATCCCGTCTAATCTCGAAGAAGTAGAGACGAGAGGTCAATTTCGACATTTACTAGTGGTCTAATAATAATATACCAGTAATATAGTAAATCGAGGATTTTCATAAAAATGGATGTAACTCAATAGCATGAGGCAAGTAAATAATGCTTTCTATTATAGGAAATCCCCAAATTCATTTTCATCATTTATATATTTATCTCAGGCCAGGGAGAACAAATGTCAACATCAATGAATTTCAAGGCAAGCAATACAAGCATGCGCAAATCATGCCGAGGTCGAACGGCTCGATCCAACAATATTTAAACTGTGAACTGCCAGAGGGTCGAATCATGCGAACTATAGATGCATCTATTACCCCGCTCGCGAATCATACATGCGACGCGGTCAAATATAGATAAACACATCAAACAATCAATCAATAATTCATCAGGGAAAACAATTATCCAATAAAAGGAAATCTCTCTTTTTAAAGTCAAGAAACGTTGTCTAGTCTTTTAGAAATTTATTTACACGTTCGATATGTTTTAAGCATTTTAAATTGACAACAAGATTGCAAATATTACAAGTAAAGCATGCTTTTGGGTCCTAGACTACCCGGACTTAAGCATAATAGTAGCTACGCAGGACTCTCGTCACCTCGTGCGTACGTAACCCCCACAAATAGAAGCACATATCCAATTAATTCACCTATGGGGACAATTCCCTCTTACAAGGTTAGAAAGGAGACTCACCTTGCTCCGTAGTTCCATAACCGGCATTTCACGCCCTTCCGAAGGCTCAAATCGAAGCACAACGCTCCAAAACTAGCCAATAATTACGTAAACCCATTAACTTATGCTTAGTTACCCATAATAATCCAATTTATAATAATTTCTAACCCCGATCGAAAAGTTGACAAAATCGCCCTCGGACCCACGTGCCCGGATTCTGAAACTTATCGAAGATAAAGTTTACCCATAACTCACGATCTCAAATATATAATTCACTCAATTTCATGTCCAAAATCATGGTCAAAATCCAAGAACATAATTTTCTAGGTTTTCCTCAAACTCCCAAATTTCTACCAATTCTCATGCTAATATCTATACATAATCAACGTATTTAACTCAAGATAGGTGGGCATAGCTTACCTTGTCATTGATGATGAAAACCCCCACTTGAAGCTCTCCAAAAATCGTCCAAACAAGAGTGAATGGAAGAGAATGGGCCAAACTCCCAATTTAAATAACCTCACTGCCTCCAGCATTTCCGCACCTGCGGTCACTTGAACGCTTCTGCGGTTCCGCAGGTGCGGCCCCACTATCGCTCCTGCGGTTTCTCACTGGGCTGCCATTTCCGCTTCTACGCCTCACCTACCGCAGGTGTGGTCCCGCTTCTGCGGCTATATGACCGCATTTACGGTCTCTTCACTTCTAGCCCAACACCGCATCTGCGTCCCTCATGGCCGCTTCTACGGCTTCGCACCTGCGGCCCAAGCCTCACAGGTGCGGTTACACCAAAAGGCAACTATTTTACTTCTTCTTCAAATTCCAAAATTCATCCGTTAACCATCCGGAATCCACCTGAGGCCCCCGGGACCCCGTCCAATCAGACCAACCAGTTCCATAACATAACGGGGACCTACTCGAGGCCTCAAATCATATCAAACAACGCTAAAATCACAAATGACACTCCATTTCAAACTTGATGAACTTTAGAACTTCGAACTTTTACATTTGATGCCGAAACCTACCAAATCACGTCCGATTGACCTCAAATTTTGCACACAAGTCATATTCGACGTTACAGACCTACTCCAACATCCGGAATCGGAGTCCGACCCCGATATCAAAAAAGTCCATCTCCGGTCAAACTTCTCAAGAACCTTCAAATTTCTAACTTTCGTCAAATGACTCCAAAATAACCTACGGACCTCCAAATTCACTTCCGATCGCGCTCCCAAATACCAGAATCACCATACGGAACTATTCCCAGACTCGAAATCCCAAATAGACATCGATATCATTGAAATGCACTTCAACCCAAACTTATGAAATTCTTTCAAAATGCCAACTTAGACAATGGGTGCTGAAACGTTCCCGGGTCATCCAAAACCAGATCCGGACATATGCCCAAGTCCAAAATCATCATACGAACCTGCTGGAACCTTAAATCCTGATTCCGAGGTCATTTACTCAAAAATCTAATCCTTGTTAATTCTTCCAACTTAAAGCTTCCGAAATATGAATTCTCTTTTCAAATCAACTCCGAACTTTCCGGAATTCAATTCCGACCATGCGTACAAGTCATAATACCTGACGTGAAGCAGCTCAGGGCCACAAACTGCCAAAAGACGCGCTAGAGCTCAAAACGATCGGTCGGGTCGTTACATTCTCTCCCACTTAAACATACGTTCATCCTCGAACGTGCTGAGAACTAGGCTGAAGTAGTTTGAAATTACTGTTTAACACCTAGCGCACCTACCCGTGCTACCAAAACTCAGTTGAGCACATTAGCTCGATCAAATCTGAAGATATCCTCTTTCATTTAGGCAAATAAGCCTTAGAGCCCAGTTCCAAGATCCGGAATTCTCTGCCAGGCCTACTTCTAATCTACGAATGTCGTCTCAATCACTACACGATGCACCAATATAAGATTGCATACCTTTGCTGAATTCTCACCATGCACCACATCATTCACGAACTATAATAACATTCTCTCATCATAATAACCGACATCTCTCGAATCTGATGCTCAAAATGCACCTCATGACATATATAAATCTATCCCAAACTTTTGCAATACCGCTACGACGGAAGAGGTGTGTAGAAATTCATAACCATTGCTGAGTCGACCAACCATTGAGTCTATACTCCTGACAAGAATCATTACCTCATTCTGAACCAAATAATGGTATTTTCTCTTTAATATACTTCATATAATCCGATCGCACTGATCCTAGATCCAACAATCTCGTCTAGTATAAGCTGCTCAGGCAATAACCCACCCCAGACATGACCAAAAGTCTCGTATGATGCCACAACGTGCTAATAAGCTACAAACTCGAACATGATACATAAGAGAAACGAACCCTGGAAGGGACTACTCAACTCACTAATATGAACCTTCCTCAGAAAATGGGAAGCAAAACACACAAAAATTAGAATATAAGGGACTGAACTCAACGTCACACTGTTGCGGCGTGCAACCTGATCCAAACAACATACAACTCACATAAGGAGATACACACCGAGCTAAATTGCTCATTACTACAAAGTATCAAATATCGATCACAAGCACGCTAAGTGCATAATACCACCCCTGGGGAGACATATAATGTCATAAGCTACATAACTCAAGCACAACGGAGGTGCGATATATGATCTGAAACTCAAGAGCCATCCTGCTCACACAACACCATCGCTACGCGGAACCTCAACACATAAGAAAATTATCAAGCCGTTTCACAACTCACACATCACAATATAGCATTACATGAGATAGCCGACGACGAAATAGCATCCAACGTCCGAATACTCCTTCATAAGGAGCGCTATGCTGAAAGAAACGCATCCTGCTTGATATAGAGCCCATATTCACATTTAAATCCATCGATAGACCTCAAGCTGATTCTAATCGCGCCGTATTGGGCTAATAACCTTTCATGGGTCCATAATACCCCCCTCTTTCCATAACACACAAGGTCAACCATCATAACCGGAGAAAACCACCACAGTCCACAACCCAATAAACTAAGTGCCCTTCAGGCATAAATTCTCAAATTAGCGATATTACCATAATCTTCATACTCGGTTTAAATTTCCAATCAATCAAGTGACTACATGTCACACTTATACAATCTCTCCGTGGGGTACACTCCCACGTTCTTCCATACTAGTTAACAAGTCTGCACATCCATACCACCGCTCACACTAACGCTGTAAAGCAAGTCAAAAATCCATAACCAGGATGCAAAGCCTCTTTCATAAAACACCGATCTCAGGTGACGCTGAAGACAATACCAGCTTACTCTAAACATTCAAATCCTTTTCCTGCTCATCTGAACTCGTGACATCCTTGCCAACACCGAACTGCAACCTTGATCCTCACTTTCAAATTTCATACCGCTCACTGCACTTAACATGCTAATATGCGATAGGACAAGAATTTCATCATAACTCCTGAACCACTAATAGGGTATATACTTCATCATACAAAAACCCTTTACTTGACTCATTCCAAGAGAACCATAGCAACACACGAGTGAATCTCATAACCGTAGAACATGCAAATCCTCAAGTAGTGGTCTAAGCCACCATA